TGTGTCTGGAATGCTTTTTCCCACACAAAATCTCTGCAAGTCAATGAATGAATCAATAATTGAATCAATGGTGAACACGATCTCTCCAAAAAGATGACTCTTCCACCCCAAACCTGTTCCTCCTCTGATACGCCCCATTCAGTGAACTGCTGTCTGACTCTCCCTTGTCCTTCAAGGCCGCCATCTACTCCACCAGCAACTTCTGCTGATGTGCCTTCCAAATCTGTCCACTTTCACCATCTCCACGGCCAGCAGCCTAACACGAGCCCCCGTGGTAACAGCCAGACTCTTGGACAATCCCCCACGGTGGTCAGGACTACATGCCAGACCTCACCACACCCTACACCCCAGGCCACGCTCCTGCGCCCTGCCCAGCCCCTAGCCATCCTGCTGACCTTCTGCCTCTCTCAAAGCCCAACTCTCTCTCCTTTGGGATCTTCATACATGTTCTTCCTTCTGCCTGTGCCCCATCCACCCCTTCTCCCATGCTTTCACCTGGCCAAGCCCATTCCATTCTTCAAATCTCATTTTTAATGCCATTTCCTCATAGAGCTGTCTAGGCCTGCAATCCCCCACCAACTTCTCAGTGGAAATCAGGTCTCCCTGGCCACACCCTCACGGGTCCTGTACTCCTGATGGCACCTGGAACAGGGCCTCGCACACAGGCAGGGCTACACGGTTTTGCTGGTCCTCAGCATGTAGCAGCCTCCTAGCACAGACCACGTCCCAGTAAACACCGGTGGGGCAGGAACACACAACCCGGGTCAAATAACCCATCAAAACATTACATGTATTTAATAACACACAGGATGCTCACAAGCTAGGTTTTTTTGTTTTTTTTTATATTAACTATGAGTCAGTTTCTGCAAATTCTTCAGAAACAAAAGCAAAGGTTCCTCATGCCCTCTGAGCTTGCCTGAACACACTCGGTGCAGACAGCTGAGACCCTCTCTGAAGTGCTACCCATCCTGCATTATTCCACGAGAGTTTTCACTCTCTTCCAGCATTTAAGCAGTAACAACAAGGAAAGTACACCAGCACAGTCTGGCAGGCTTTGTTCCTCGGGACCCAGTCTGCTTTCTTATCCCACACAACAAAACACACAAGACCAAGAAGCACTAGAAATCCACCCCAAGGTAAAATTCCACATCGACTTCAAAAGGAAACCCCCAAGATAAAATTGTAGGAACTTTTGAAGCCTTTTGCCGTTTTGCAAGATACATACTATACCAAAATACCACCATTTTGGGTACAGAATCTTTTTTTTGCTGGGTACAAAGGAAGCTAAATGAAAGTCTTTGTACAGCAAAGACACGGGGGTGCTACCCAGGGAGCAGCTAACACCCCACAGCTTACCGGCCAAGACTGACTCAAACACCACCACTCAGCACAACTCAGCCGCTTGGCACTTATTTTGTAAGAGGAAAAAAGGAGCAAAGAATTAAAAATATAAATTTCAAAACTCCACTGAGAAAGAAAAAGAGCTAGTTATGAGAATTAAAAAATGAGATTGTGGGGGCTGGAGACAAAGGGGTGGGGGGAATCTTGGAACTTGTGGCTACTGTCTCTGAGTTGTTAAGAAGCCACTGAATCTGTGGGGGGTATGGGGAGAAAATAAGAGAAAGGGCAGGCAGAGAAGAGGCTGATTCCTCGTCTAAACTCCTATTATTTGGCCAGTCACTCAAAACATCATCCCTGAGGAATGATTCCCTCTCTCCTCGGAACACAGATTAGGAGTTACTGGTTTATAACAAACAAGATGTACCAGCTACAGGAACTAAAATTTATGGGGTTTATTTCTTAATTTAAATCTTATTTGATAACTTGAATTCCACTTGTTAAGAACATTTAGTCTACACATCCATTTTTTCTAACATGGTAACCCACAAACCACATGAAAAAAAAATCCAATCAGATTAAAACAGTCCGACAAAATGCTTTAAATTCCCAAATGAAGATTCTGTCCCAAATGAGCATTGTAGAAAGTTATTTTTTTAGCAATCTGTGATAGTGTTGTCTCTAATGATTACTAATCAACATGGAATACCTCTTTATTTTCAAAGTGAAACATTAGAAATACTTATGAAATAGCTTGGCCCCAAAGTTACAATAAATCCAAATTTCAGAGAAACTAGGAAGCAATCCTTAGACAATTATTTTGAAATATGTCTGATGAAACACTGATGTGACAACATTTTACTTAAAATGAAAAACAAAGTATGAGAAAGAGCCCCAATTGCCTGGAAAAAAGTTATAGTATCATTCCTCAGAGGATCTAAACACGAACCAGACCCTCTGGCCAGTGTCAAACTGTACAAAGACCCGAATATGTATCAGCCAGAACTCAGAATGCTCCATTTATAAATACAGACAAACTGTGCCTGCCAAGGAAGGGTCGGTTTTGGTTGACACATCGCCCTCTGTTCAGTGAAAGGGTGATCATAAATTTGCAGTCCCAAGGTGCATGGACCCTCAATCCTAAACACTACAGGTGACCAGACGGATGAAGAGGTCCACAACCCCTCTTTCTTCTACCCAACTTTCCCATCTCCCTCTCCTATCTCCCCCCGCCCAGAACATCCTCCTTCTCACCTGCTGGTGTCAGGTGAGGAACACAGAAATGCACAATTACAGGGCTGACTCATATAACCAAAGTCACCATTCACAACAAGCAGTAAGCATTTCACAAATGTGCTTTCCTTTTGTCCAAGCGTATGACTTTTCTCTTCTTCCAGCTCCCAGAACCCACCTTCCTCCACCAGTCCATAACCTCTGGGCAGTGGCCATTCCCAGGTCCCCAAGAGCACAGCAGAAAGCACAAAAAGATCATATTACAGTTGCCAGCTGTGGCTCCACTGGACAAAGGTCTTCGTCTAAAAGGTGGTGTATGTGCTCCAAAGTGGTTGCTATGGTAAACACGCCTGCTATTACACAGCAGAGGAAAAAGGAACCTAAGTCCCCTCGCGGCTCCCCTAGCCAAAATCCACACAGGCTCTGGAAAAAATGTTTTGCCACCTCCTCCAGATCATTAATTTCTACGCAAGAAAATAAGGTACTGAGGGCCCACATTGTGGCAACTGTTCTTGTGGGCTATGGGGTGGGTGGGTCACTGCCTCCTGTCCACATGGACAAATCCTCACTCTTGCGTGGGAGCAACACTCACTGGCATGGGGCCCACGGACCCTATGCCACAAGCCCAAGGGGCTGTGTCCACCCGGAACCACTCCTAGGAGCCACATCTTCTCTCCGTACTCGAAGAGAGGAAACAATTCAAAGAGATTGGAACGTCCTTTCTCCGTAGCTTAAAAAAAAAAAAAAAGAAAAAAAAGGGAAATTCCCATCAGGCATTTCCAAAAGCAGAGAAATAAATTTCAAAGCCTGGACCCACTATGGGAAACTCAGGGAGGCAGGAAAGTGAAATGGACTAGCTTCCTCAATTTACCCTCTAGGTCTCTAGAACTGTCACACTGTTTGAAAAACCTTTGTATGTTGTTAAGACTTTTTTTTTTTTTTTTAACGTGCCATTCACTTTAGGAGAAACCTGCCTCAGAACCCCAAGCCAGTAAGCTCTTTACGCCTAGGCCACTGTCCCCGACAATGACCTGATTTACAGGAAGCAAAACAGAACCAGCCCTGGAAAGTTGCTTTCACCTCTCACAGGAGAGAATATGCCACAAGGCCCGGAAAGGGGAGCAGAGGACTGGATCCAGGCCTCACTCTGGCCATACTCAGCGTGTGACACTGGGCAATTCACTTAAGGCATCTCTGGGCCTCAGTTTCCTTTTCTGAGAGCAGACTGGGCCTAGATGACCTAAGGTAACTTCCGGCCCTGAAATCGTGACATTACAGGAGCATACGTAATTATGAGCATCCATTTTATCGCAGGGTTGGAGGAAGGAGGAAGTTTCTAGCAAACGTCAGCCTTCTTTCTACATGCTTAATTTATACCATGAGAAGACATTTTCAAACGTGACTCAAAATGTGGCTTTACAGAAATAAATGATTTTGTGATATATACACACACATACAACAGAGGCACAACTCATTAAATAATATATACTCGATTACAGCAAGCTACAAAATAAGGAGGCAGCTGGCCCAAAATGATGCAATGCATCTTAAGATTTTTCTACCTAGGAAAATTATTTTGCAATTTTTAGAAATTACAATATAGAGGCAAAATATATTCATTGCTAACATTTTGTAATACTTAAATAAAAAATAAATAATTCTACTTGTTACAGATTTGTTATAAAAATATGTCTTTCATTAATTATTTCAAAAGTTTGAAGTCCAGCTCATGATATAAATATATAGAAGGGAATATTCTAATCAGGCTGAGCTATCTTCTCAAGAGGTTCATTTATAAACTCCACTTTCAGAGCCTACAAAACCCTAAGAACGTGCATTAATAATATATGTATGTAGACACATACTTTATGTTGTAGTCTCTTAGTACTAAAAACAATGTTTTCTTTATCAAACCCATACGCTTTCGAAGCCATAGCTATAGAGATTAAATTTAATTTTAGCCTTTCTATGTTCATTACTACTCTGGGTTTATAATCAGCCAGCCCAGGTGAAATTTTTCTAACGTTATCGTATGTGTTACTTTGCAAAGAGACTAGAAATTCCCAAATCCAGAATTCCCCTTTTGAGTTTTCTAATTTCCTCCTATCTCACCTTCCCTAATTGTATTTTTGTAATTGCTTTGATACCACTAGTCTCCCCCAAACCATGGTGATCGTGTCCTAGTAACTGCAGCCCACAAGGCCAGACTCCATACAGGGAGGGAGGGTTCGGAAAACCTCCAGGTAGGTTACAATCGCGGAGGTCCGATAGCAGAAAGCGAGCACTTGATAGATATAAACCATATCCAAGAATATTCCAAAAAAGTTTCTTCTAAGAAAGGAAAACTGACAAACAAGGCCTGTTATCACCAAGAACATCTTCTCCATCACCCCCAGTAAAGGAGGCAAGCGTCCTTGGGGGGTACTCACCACGATGTGTGCTGGCGACGGGGACCGGGCATCCTTGAGGGCTTGTCTGCTCTGGAGGCTCCCTGCCTGGACATCAAGCAGTGGCCATTTCATCTGGAGATACTGGAGGGAGGAAACAAAAATGGAAATGGAGAACAGTGAACGCAGAAAAGAAACGCCAAACAGCCAGCCCAAGAAATAACTGTTATATGGGTCAGAAACTGAAACACGTCATAGCATGCAAATAACAGTAACAATAACGAAAGAAAAAAGCATGCAGTACCAGTAGGCTCTTCCTTAGAGCTCAAGTTCAGTAGGTACATACATAGAACATTAATGTTAGCAACTACTTAAGATGATTTCATTAATACTATAATACCTATTCAGAGAGGGAAAGGAGGTGGGAGGTAGAGGACAGAAGACAGAGCTACTGGAAGAAAGAAAGTAAACACAAATCTCAGGCCAGAAGTATCCTAGGAGACCATCAATTCCAAACTTGCTCTTTCATGACCTTCATTTTTCAAATGCCATCATCCTTCACTTTAAAGAAAGCTGAGTACATATGTGCAACTGTCCTCTAGGTAGCAGAAACTACTTGAGCAAGGTGAGCACAGAATTCCTCATCCAACCCAAAAGCTTAGACAACAAAAATACTTCCTGGCAGAATTCCAGGGCACAATGCAATGTATACACTCATTTCAAAAGACCAGAGAAATTCTGAAACATGTACACGTTTACCACAGAGATAAAAATAAAGGTATAAGCCAATTATGCCTGTCCCCACCTTTCTCTGAGACAGCAAATGAACACATGGCATAAGGGAGCTACTTTAGCTTTCAGAAGGATTTCAACAATCAATTGATTCAACTTGCTGCCTTGTAGGTGAGGGAAACTGGGGTGAGGTGGCTTGCCCAGGTCAGAGATACTTAACACATGTATAAGCAACTCCCAGACGTTTGACTTTTGTTGGTAACACTTCAACAGTTTCACTCAGGAAAACTTCAGACAACCAAACAAAACTTAGACACAATGCTTATAAGGACATCAACACCAGCCCCTGCATCTCCCAAGGCCAAGTGACTCATGTATCAGTTAAGGACAAGTGATTAATGTATGAGTTAAAGCTTGGAGGATAAACAGGAAGCCATCTTGATCATTGCAGAAACCCCAAGCAAAATAAATGGCTAGTTTTGAATATTAAATCTACAAAAAATTTTACTCAATGAACACCAAGTACAGCTTGCTTGTGCACAGGCTTCTTGCTAAACATTAGAGAGATACTAAGGTGTCTGCCTTCAGGGAGCTTCTGCAGGCCTGAAGGCACCAACACACACACAGGTAAGTCAAGAGAGGATGCGGTAACGCTGTGACAGAGACTCCAGGACTCATGCCCAGGGAGTACCAAGACAGAAGACAGAATTTCTGAGACTGCGGAAGGCTGCACAGAGTTAAGTCTTATAAAGTCAGAAAGATTTCAATAGAAAGAAAAAGGACCACAAAGGGCATCCAGAAAGAAGAGTTTGCACAAATCCCATGAGAGACAGAGGGGCCACAAGCCAGTCCACAGGTTCCCCGAAGATACGACAAATTAAATTAAAACCAAACTCGGTTACGCCTGAAGCTGGAAGATCCTAGCCCATGAGCTACCTGCCAAAGTGCACAGTCAATTTTCCAACCTAGGTCTACACAAGGTAGGTGCATCTTCTACGGTGTCAGAGCTTTTCCCTCGAAGCCTCCTGCTGTGCACAAACTGGTTGCTAGTCTGACTGTCCATAGCTCACCACAAGATTTTGCATTGAATCCCTTTGCTTCGATGGATCTCCAGTTTTTCATCTGTATGTTGACGAGTTGTCCGATCTGTGATGGGGTGTGGGTGGGGCGTCTGCCCCAAATGCAGAAGGTCTTCTAGACTGCTAGGCCCGCAGATAGTAAATACCAACAGGCATCCCCAAGGCATCCTTACAATCAAACCACTTCCAAATACCTTCTTTGGGGACGAAATCACCCCAAGTTGAGAACCACCGAAATAAATGTTTCCAAGGTCTCTCTCAGCCCTGTAACCTGAGCCAGAGGGCTATGGAAATCTAGTCTGCCCCGTCTCACCCTGACTCCTTCCCATTCTCACTTGCCACATAAATACATGGGCTGCATTGGTCAAAACCACTCAACAGAGTCATTTCCTCGAGGCCAACCAAAATGGACACCCGCCATCGCTCACCTCGCCATCTCACAGAAACCCGTGAACAAAAACACCAAGCCGAGTTGACATCGCCCTACACCCCCATGCTATCCTCAGGACGGCAGGGTGAATGAGTGGATAAGTTTTCATCTTTGGCCACCTGCAAAACTGATTTGATTACATCCAAATACCAGCTCCACAGAAGTAGGAAATTTAGGCTTTGCCTAAGGTGACAGACCTGCCCTGAGGACCCCACCCAAGAACTGTCATACCCATGATGCAATATGAACGTGGAGACTTATAATTCTTACTTTACATAAAAGCTTCATTGTGTGCCACATCCAATCTCCATAGGCTACCTGCACCACATATTTTTATGAGCCTACATTTCAGCGCTCTGAGCCTACAATACACATAATTTTCAATTATGTTAGAGCAGCCCAGGATCACTGCCTATATAACATTACTGGTTGGAGGAAATGAGACTCGGCCCCACTGCCCAGAGAGAGCTAACCGAATCCAGATGGCGGAGGAAGACAGCCCTGTTCCTGCCGACTCGCAGGGACTCCGCAGTGACAGCCCCAAACTGTCCTCCTCAATGCACCTTGATGCCACAGAACGGCTGGGTACCCACAAATGCAAGTCCGTCCTTTGAATCTTAACTGGCATTCAGGCTGATGAGGTGCCTTTTGGGGGAATGAGTATTATGTCAGCATTTTTTTCTCTTTTTTTCCCCTCCACAAAGGCCAGGAGTAATATGGCAGGATTTTTTAAAGGAAGCTATTAACCTCCTCCAAAAGTGATGGGTTTCCCAGGTTCCTTCATCTTCCACAATTGGTCCTTATTAATAGGGAAAATAAATAAATAAAAGTAAGAAAAAGGAAATTAGGTCTATTACAGCCTAGAGGAAAATCTTTTCCTTCCTGGAGACATTAAGCAGCAGGAAATTCTATTCTGTTGGGTCCTAAAGGAAGACCTGAAGGAGGGGGGCATTTCAGATTTACAAAAGGGTTGGAACGCTGAGCCACGTTTTCCCAACAGTTCAACTTCAGTTTTATATCCTTTTGGGGAAGAAAAAAAGTTCCCACCATCCCGCTATAAAAACAACAGTGGGCTCCAGCTCTCTTCCTCCTAGGCTGCTCAACGTGGAAATTATGAATTGCCTACAAAAACATTAAGCTTTTCAACAAACTGCAATCAAATGGGGCTGTGGGAATTCCTGCATTGAAAACTGTTGGAATGGAGTCTGCTCAACTTTCATTTCTTTTTAAAAAAAAAATAAATAAATAAATAAATAAAATGAGACCATCTTGGCTTAAGCATTTTATCCTTTGTTGAATAATAATGTTCTGATCGTGGCCCATTAGGGTTTTCCCCCAAACTGTATTTTATGATTATGTCTCAGGGAGCTTAAGTTAAGCTTTAGATCTGTGAGCAAAGTCCTGACATACAGACAACCCCAACGGCCTGAAAGGAACCAAAGCAGTTGGAAAGACGGTTAAATTGCCTGCAAAAAGAAAAAGGTAAGATCTCTAATTTCTTCTCTCCCACAAGGTAAATGGGAAGGGTCTTCCAAATCAGAAGCCTCCTTCAGGAAGTAGCTTCAGCTGCAAGCAGCACCCTCTGCTAGAGCTCGCTCCCAGGAAGGGACCGTCACCCTCGTGACTCTACCACCAGTAGCAGGGATGGGGAAGGGGCTGCCCAGAGAACCTGCCGTCTTATGGCAGCCACAGAGGCTTTGTACAAATTTCTTTTCTAAACAAACAAGAGAACTCCAGGACAATGAGGATGAGGACAAAGTTGCCAGGAAACTTCGCATCCTTGATCAAACGCCAGCGCTGCTTCCCAGAGCTTCCTTTCGATCACTCCATTCCACAGATGGACAGGCAAATGGAGTCTGTCCCTTCATTTGTCCAGGGCGGGGTTGGCAAACTTTTTCTGTAAAGTGCCAGATAGCAAATACCTTAGGCTTTGCGGCCCATACCACCTCCGCCATAACTACTCAACTCTGCCGTCACAACTCGAAAGCAGCCACGGGCAACGCATGTATGTCTTGTGTTAATGGCTATGTTCCAATAAGACCTTATTTATGGATACCAGAATCTGAATTTCATACAATTTCCCTTATGTCAGAAAATACTATTCTTCTCTTAATTTTTTTCAGCCATTGAAAAATAATAAAAGTCATTCTTAGCTCACTGGCCATACCGAAGAGGTGGCGAGTCAGCTCTGGCCTGTGGGCTAGACTATGCCATCCCTGGCTCAGGGCACCAATGTGGAAAGGCCTGCGAAACCATGTCAGATGGGGTGTCTTCCCTCGCTGGGCCTTAAATCCAGACAGCCGAACACGACCATGTAGCAAAGCGTGTTCAGCGGCCCAAAAGCAACATTTTGGATTGAATCGTCACTGGCGAACTCAAGTTTTGGGGGAAAAGCTTGGAAAAGAACTTGAGCCCTTTGGCCAAGGCGCCCAGTCACAAGGTCTAACCACGAGACCACAATCTCACCAAAATAACTATTCCTCCTTTCCAAAATGGAAGTTTTAAAAATCCCTGAGCAATTCTGACTGGAAAAGGTTCATGCGTTCAAAAGTTCTCACCCACTTCCCGGGAGGCACTGGGGATGTGTCACGTGTCACCAGATCCCAGGCAGAATTTCCTCAGGTCCCGGGTGAAGCATTGCGGGTGTTTTGGAGTCAACTCCCCAGGTGCAGACACCCTCTCTCCAGAGATTTCCATCTACACCTTTCACAAGTAACAAAGCTAGGGTGAAGCCACATCATGCCAACTCTGCCTGCCACCAAGAGACGGCCTCAGCCACAGGCTGGAAGAAGGATGCAGAGTCCAGGGTGGGAAGAGGGGCACATGGGGCCTGGACAGACCATTCAATGGACGTGAAACTGGTCTCTTCCGGAAAACTAGGTCCCGTAGAAAGCCTATCAACC